AGGGGAAAGGGCGTGTGTGCCATCTCTCACCCGCCTCTGCCTTCACTCTATCTCCATCCAATGTGTGGGTATGCACGCCACTGCAGGAGCTCCCACATGCAACACACACACACACACACACACACACAGCAGCCCACTCACATGCACAGAGAGACTTCCATAACTTTGCATGTACACACACACACCCCACACTACCCTACACCTCATATATGCACCCAGAGACAGTCTCATAGTCAAACATACACACCCAGGTGCACACCCACACTTCCACAAGTGTTCACACACATGCATGTGTCTCACGCACATCCCATCTTCTAAATGGCCCCTTTTTGCACATGTGTCCATATAATCATCCCTGAGGATCCCTCACACACACACCATCTTACACAATTTCACACATGGCCTTCATACATGTTGTCATATCTCAGATCTGTAAAATCAGCATAATAAAACACTTCCTTGTACGGTGTTTTGTTTTTGCATAGAAGAACTGGGGTGTAGGCCAGAGGTGCAGGGGTGAGAGGATTCACCAGAGACAGGGTGGGGAGCAGAAAAGGTGGATCTTCTGAAATACACTGCTGAGGGGAGCAGCAGGGAGACAGGAGAGGTCTGCTGCACCATGTGGTTCACTCCCTGGCCAGGGATCGAATCCAGGCCTAGCAGTGGTGATTGTGCTGAGACTTAACCCCTAGGCCACAAGGGAGACCCTGTAGGGTGGTTTTCAACATCAGAATGACATAGGAGGCTGTTCTGAAAAGTGCTGTCACTGAGGAAGCACATGGCACTGGCCTCCCTCCCTCACCGCTGTGTCAACATTTTGCAGATTTTCTTTAAATACCAAGAGGACCGAGACTTTCTCCCCATCCAACGCCTTATTTTATTTTCTTCTTTCCTTTTTCATAATGTAATGATTTCTAGAACCACATGTGCATTCAGCTGTTTCTCATCAGGTTTGTCTTGTTCCCCTAAAAACACACCCAAATAAAACAATGTTAACAAAGAGAGTTTCTTCTTTTCCCTTCGAGTTTCTCGAGTGATAGAACTCATGTAATGCTCTGAAGTATGAACATGTCTTCTAGTTCAATTTTTTTGTGCACGGACTATTTTTCCACCAGGAAGAAAAAAAAAAAAAAAGATGTTTGTCGAGAGAACAACCTAAGCAGCTGATATTTCCCTCTGTTCCTTGTCATAATAATGAGATTTTAACGTGTCATACCACATTTAACAACCTCCTGATGAAGCTGGTACCATTTGGATTCCAGGTTTTTTTCTTTTTATTTAAATTATCTTTGGAAGCATAACATATATTCAGAGAAGAGCACATATCGTAAGCGCAGGGCTTGATGAATATGCACAATGTGAGCACCGCTGTAGAGCCAGGAGCTCAAATCACAGCCCCCCACGTGGACCCCCGAGGCCAAGCACCATCCTGATTGAATCAGCCTTGTCAGTTCTGAACTTCATAGAAATGGAATCATACAGTGTTAGGATAGGCAGAATCATGACACACCCCCCACCCCCATCCCAAGATGTTTGTGACCAGTCCCCAGAATCTCTCAGTGTTACCTTGTCTGGCAAAAGGGACTTTGTGGATGTGGTTAAGTCAAGGAATTGGGATGGGGACATTGTCCTGGATTTGTCCAGTTTGGAAGTTGCAGCCCAGATGGGTAAAGTCTAAGGTCACAGGTCACACATCAAGTGGTGGAACTTGAACCCAGGCAGAACGTGAAGTTAGAAGCTACACTTTGACCCCCGCTCCAGAAGGGAAACCTGGGCTCTGAGAGATGATTTGTCCAAGATCTGATGGCATGCTCTTCCCAGGATGCCACTCCTGTGCCAGCTCCGGGACAGAGGAAGCACATGGCAGACTCCTCACTGTCTCCCACCCCAGCCCCAGGGACAGGAAATGCTCCATCCTCTGCTGTCTGAGAGAGGCTATGGTGTCTGGCACCTGCTTACCAGCTTCAGAAGCAGGGCTGAACTTACAGCTGCTGGAAAGTTTCCCTCTGCTGCCAAAGGGGCACCAGCCATTCACCCCCTTTCTTCCGGGGGAGCAATATTTGAGCTGGTCACTGATAATATGGGCTGAGAGAGACATCTTACAAACTGCTTAATTCACAAGATAAGGAAATTTAATACCTGGAGTGATACCAACTAGACTTTATTGAACACCTACTATGCACTATGCACTATGCACTGACAAGGTGCTTTTGCATTGTTTTCTCTCTAGCCCTCACTGTGGTTTAGAGACAGAGACCATTAAGGCCCCTTTATTGAAAAAGAATAGAGGCTGGGAAGGTTTGCTCAGAACTGCACAGTCAGAATCAGAAACCAGAGTTTTCTGACCCCAGAGCTAGGGTGCACGCCCACTGACTACATCCTCCAGAGAGGGACACTTTCTTGTTCCAGTTATTCTCCACGTCTTAGCAGGTTGAGGACAAAGCTCCAGCAGCCCAACACCAGATTTATCTTAAACACCATGAAGCTTGCTTTGCAACTAATGGTAGACACAGATAAAAATGGGGCGCAAGGCCAGAATTAACAAAATTAATAATAGAGACTTGTATGGAGGCCAGATGGTTGCCTGTCACCATTTACTCCTCCCTCTTGACTCAGTAAAGTCTAATTGGTCTCAGCCATTCCCACTTCCTCACCAGGGATAGGTTTGGGCATGAGACATGGCACTTCCTTTCTGGTTTCAAAGGCTTCTGAAAGATATTACCTTGCTCTTCGTTCCCAGATGTTCTATGTGATGCCTGGAACCACAGCAGCCAGTTTATCACTTTGAGTAGAGTCGGACATTGTCAAAATGCCAATTAACTAACCACAGAACCAAATGTCTTCCAGAAAATCTCTCTTAGCTAAGTACATTGAGCCAAGGTTTTCTATTATCTGTAGCCAGAGGCATCCTCACTAATACTATGAACCTTAAAATTCTGGCGTCCACTGGCACGGGTCCTAATCCCCGCTCCCCCATCAACTAGCCATGTGACCTTGGACTTTTCTCACTGGACCCTTCCGAGACTTGAGCCTCCTCTGTGCAGTATGGTGGGTAATAATAATCCAAGGTCACTGTGAGACTACAATAAGAGGCCCAAAACCAAAATCAAAAGCACTTTGCTGATAGAAAAGCTCGAGGTATAGCGAGTTGTTATTATCGTTGCTGATATTATAGACTCTGCAGGGTCAGACAAAGCCCAGAGCCTGCCCTTGTTCCTAGCGATGGGCTCAAGGAAGGAAGCAGCTGCACACACTCAGATAAGGCCACATTTGCATTCTCCCAGCCACTCGCACCCGCCTGACACTCTGCAGGTTGAGCCAACAGCAGCCTTTCCTGGGGGCACGGGGCCAGCAGTGAGCATCTGATGGAGGGAGGAGGTTGAGAGGGGGCTGCACCCCAGCCACAGAAGCCCCACCAGTGAAGGTCATGTGCAGTAATAGTACAATATTCTATCACATCCTGACAGTCTCCTGGGTGGCCAGATCCTCCGCTGTCAGCTTCTCTTTCAAGTCTCATAACAACTCTATGAAGTAGATTTATTCTCATTTTAGGAATGAGAAACTTGAAGCTCAGAGAGGTTAGCAAACATGTCCAGCAAACACATTCACTCATGTTCCATGATTGGGAGGACCAGGTCTGTCTGACTCCCAAGTCTTGCTCTTAACTACTGTGCCAGGAAAGTCAGATGCCCCTCAAGCTTCATGGAAAGAAGAAAGCAGGAACAATTCCAGGAAGAGTGGACTCTCTATTCACGGCCTTACCCTCATGGTGCACTGTCCAAGCAGTGATGGAAACATTCAGAATCCAGCTTTACTCACATCTGACCTTTGACATCCTGGCTTGTCCCAGAACGTCCCATTTTTTCCCACGTCAGCAGTCTCAGGACTGGTCCCAGGAGTCAGTCCTCAAGGGAGACAATGCTGTGATGAAAATGCTCTAGGAGGCCTCCCTGGTGGCGCAAGGGGTTAAGCACCACACTATGAAGCAATCCGCAGCCTCTGCAGCATGAGCTCAATCCCCAGCTGGTCAGAGAGAAACCCACATGGCGCAGCAGACCTCTCCTGCCTCGCCCGCTGCTCCCCTCAGCAGTGTACTTCAGTCAGTCTGCCTGTTCTGCTCCCTGCTCTCTCTGGTGAATCCTCTCATCCCCCACATCTCTGGCCTGTACCCCAGCTCTTGTATGCATGGATAAATAAATCTTTAAAAAAAAAAGAAAAGAAAAAGAAAATGTTCTAGGAAGTGGAGATGATACCTTCATGAAAAGTCTGGGGACCCAGGAGGGCAAGTGGGGAGCATGGGGCAGGGGGCTGGTTACTCCCCCAACCAGATACCCTCCCTGCCAATCTCTGTACCCACCTATGTCACGGGAGGTTGATGCACAGGCACCTGCCCTCTGGGTTCCAGTGGGTTTGATCAATGGGAGACATCAGGGAAGCTGGAAAACTAGAAGTAGGGACACCCCCTCCCAGCCTCTCCTTTCTTGCCTCCCCAGCTCAGGGCCTGCTTCTGCTGTGCCCAAGTTCTTCCAGGATGAGAGTTCCTCTGGCTCCACCTCTCACCAGGTTCTACTCGCCCCTTTCTTCTCCTTCTACATTCAAGGGTGATAACTGGTCCCCATTCTTGCTAATCTCTGGGGATCTCAATACCCTCAATACCATTTTGTTGGCTCCTCTGTGAGTAGACCTTTCATTAAATTTTCTCCAAACTCCCACATTTCTATTTCCTCATGGGCCCCGAGTATTGGGAGGAAAGGATATTTGTGTTAGGGGTGGAGGGAGGCCAGACTGGAATGTGTTCTCAAGGACTTGGACTGTCTTGGCTCAGCTATCGGGTAAACTGCCAGAGGGAGGAGCTTCAAAGAAGCTTCGGCATCTGGTCCTGCCCCTGGTGACCCCAGCAGAGAAAGAGTAGAGCTTGGTGACTTGGGCAGTTCTCTGTTTTTGGAGGATTTGGGCATTCACAGGCCAAATTCCATCTGACCTAGACTGCCAGGCTCACAGTGAACTCTACAGTGGGAAAGAGGAAACAGCCATGGCAGAGAGATGATGCTCCATCCTCCTAAACACTAGTTCCCTCTTCTCATCTACCTGGCACTTCCAGGCTGACTGAGCAACATCTCATGACTTCACCCACCGAGTCTCACCATGATCCCCTGAGGCAGACAGATGAAGATCATTTCCCCCATTTTACAGGTGAGAAAAATCAAGTTTAGAGAAAGTAAGGGGCACTAATGTCACATCAAGAGGTCTCCACCCTGAGGCATGGTGATCCCAACTCTGAGGCTCCTTCCAACACACCTACTGTAGATCCAACAACACACCTGTGATTTACTCCACTGTAGTGACCACAGAAGCCCTTGGCAGAGCTGAGCTGGCCATCCTTCCCTCAGACTCAGAAATAAGTGAATGGATGAATAAGAGCTGGCATTTGTTCACCAAACATCTACAATGTACCAGACATTGGGAGAAACTTACACTTTGTTCCTTTGAGTCCTCAATAATGCTGTGAGGTAGTTAGTATTATCCTCTTTGAAATATAGAAGAAGCCGGCACTCAGAGCACTTAAGTGAGTTGCCCAAAATCACACAGCTACTCGGCTGTCCTTAGGCCTGCTGTGCTAAACCATGCCACAATGGCCTCTGCTGCAGATGTTCCAGTAAAACCACATGGTTTACTTCCCTTCCCTGTGTCAGAGCCTAGGATGATCTGAGCAGAGGAGTGAGAGAGTTGCATGCTGAAACTTGGTCGTCCTGCAGGCAGCACCCACAGCACCCACCCTCTCATACGTTTTCTGGTCCTACATAATGTGGCCCCTGGACTTGAGGGGGCCCTGGACTTGAGGGGACAAGGGTCCACGGATGGAATGAATGACAGCTCACACATCCCCAGCATGTCACATCTTAGAAAGTGTTTTCACAATCACTGGATCACGTCATCCTTATAGTAAACCTGTTGGGCATACAGGACAAATATTTCCTATCCCAATTTCTTTAGAGAAAACTAAGAGTGCAAAAAAGCAAAGAGATATGCCCAAGGTCACATAGCTGGTATAAGTGGAACAAGGATTCCATCCTACAAAGACTGGGCTCCAAAGCTTATGCTCACCTCACTCTAACATGCCGGTTGGCTTGAGATAAGAATCTGAGAGCAGAAGTGACCTGCCCAAGGTTACACAGCAAGAAAGAGTTTCTGAGATTAAATACAACCAACACCCCCTGCTGCATCCCCCCAACCTTCCTCTACTACATCTCTTCTCACTCTGACAGTTCTCCCCTCTTGGGGCCTTCCCCCACCCTCATCAAGTTACTAGAGCCAGGAGATGTCTTCCACCCCATAGCCTCCTTGGAGAGAAATAAAAGACAGGAGAGAGTAGTGAGAAGGGAATAAGTCTTTTGGATCTTCTTTGCATGAGCTGGTCATGGCATGGTCTCCTGAACTCTTGGCAGAACCCACCTGCTCACTGCCTGCAGGAAGGAGATGGAACAGCTGTGTGCCCATCTGCCAGAGGAATTCTTTAAAGAGCAAAGATGATGCTATTTTTCTACCAGCAGTAGCAGCAGCAGGATAAGTGCTTACGGCTCATTTTGGGTTCATTCTCTCTCTGTCTGAGGCTTGTGTCTTTAGAACAGCTGTGCACACAGAGCATGGCTGTAAGGCAAGGGGCGTCTGAAGCAAGACTTGGAGCCTCTGGCCAAATTCATGTGAACTGACAGTTCACAGTTGTTTCTTACAAACAGGAAGTAACAGCTAAGACTCACTGTGCTGGGCACTCTTATGAACTATGTATGTATTTCATATATATTAATTTAATCCATATATACACATACACATCTGTGTAATCAAAAAACCTCTATGCCAAAACTACTGTTATCATCAATAATGGGTCTCAAATTTGAGAGTGTATATGAATCTCTTACAGTATTGTTTAAAAATCAGAATCCCTGGCTTCTGTGCTCCAAGCTCAGGAGAGCTAGAGATTAGGCAGCTGCATTTTACAAAGCTCCTCTGTCTGATTCATATACAGGGAATACTTTGAGAAATACTGACAAAGGAAAGCATTCATTCACAAACTTTGTGGAGTAAAAACTATATGCCAGCACCTGGGACAGCCATAAGGGAGATTAGAAGTAATTACACTGCTGGCCAGCATTACCTGAAACCTAGCCACAATCCAGGAACCTTGCTAAGTGCCTCAAATACACTGATGCTCAATTATCACAACAGCCTCCAAGTCAGTAGTATTTTACCTCCATGTCATAGATAAAGAAACTAAATTCCACAGAAGAGAAATGGCTCATGCAAAACCCCAATTGTCTAAATCCTCATAGGCAGCACACAGAAGAACTGGGATTTGAATGCAGGCCTGTATGAGTCCAGACTCTGTAATCTTCAAAGTGGATGAACAGTTTCTATCCTTGTAGAGCTCCCAGACTAAGGGAAGATCCAAGCTGGCGACCTAAACAATCACTGCAACATAATGGAAAATAAAATGTACTAGAGAGCTACACACACACACACACACACACACACACACACACACACACACACACACACTGCTGTAAAGGTTAATAGAGAAGATATATCACTTCCTGTCAAAGGACAACCATGGTAAGCTCCCTAAGGAAGTTGTTATTTATACAGGGTCTTTTTTTAAAAGTCAATAATTACCAGAGTTAAAGAAAATTCCAAGAAAAGGGAACATTATAATCAAAAGCGCTAATATAAGAAAGAACAAGGATATTCTGAGAAACATGAGCAATACTACTTGTTTGGCATGAAACAATAGGTAAATCAGAACAGTTCACGGCCTCATCTCTTTCAAATGTTTATTCAATGCATCATCTCTGTAAAATATTGACTGACTAGCTATTGACAAATTAGTGAAAACTATGCCCCCCCATTTTATTTTTTTCCAAAGCACTTCTCATCTTCTAATATATAATTTGCTGTTGAGAAAAAACAAGACTTTTGTATGACTCTACCTATTAGATCATAAGCCCCAAGAGAGTATGGTAGGTGCTCAATAAATATTTGTTAATACTTGAATGATAGAAGCAAGAAGAGGTATCGGGCCCTCCCCAGTGGCGCGGTGGGTTGAGTGCAGTGCTGTGAAGCTGTCAGCAGCCTCTGCAGCACCAGTTCAATCCTGGCTGGCCAGGGAGATTCCCACATTGCGTGGCAGACCTCTCCTGTCTCACCCACTGCTCCCCTCAGCAGTGTATTTCAGTAGATACGCCTGTTCTGCTCCCCATTCTGTCTTTGGTGAATTCTCTCACTCTATAGCACTTGTCACCTTCTAATATGTTGGATATCTCACCTCTGGCCTGTACCCCAGTTCTTGCATAAATAAATAAATCTTTAAAAAAAAAAAGAAGAAGAAGAAGAAGGAGGCATTATGTAGAGAGCGCATGGAGAAATCAGCACCTTGGACAGAGGTCCACAGTCCACTTCCTGAGGTGTTTCCTACCTAGAAGCTCAACAGATTACACTTTGGTAGATTTGGGATAGGGGGCTCAATTCCTAAATTCCCTCCTTCCCCCCACTCTCTCTCTGTCTCTTCCTTCCTCCCTCCTTCTCAACTCTCCACCAATGACTCTAATGTATATCCAGTCTGATATTCATGTCATTTCCAGCTCCAACAACCTATACAAGCTACTACTCCTGCAGACATTAGTAAACCCTCCAGGATCCTGACATTCTGATCAGCTTGGTGGTATAAATAATGTCACAAGTCTGGGGAATGCAGGTGGAGTTCTCCCATTAAAGCAGGCTTAACCCATAGTGGCAATGCCTAAATCAATTCCCCACCACAAGACAGCTTTCTGTACTTTCCACCAAAACATCTTTGACAAATCCTATTCTATTCTCTCTCCTTTCTGATGACTCCTCAGAGACTCCAGCCAGTCTGTTCTGATTCATATTTATCAGCTTGGTGCTGTCTTCCTTTCCGCCACCACCCTCATATTCTCCCCCAAGTTAATTGGGGAAGACGGATGGATGATGGTACCCTGTGTAATCTAATTAAGATGAAAGCTTCTACTGATCTCCCTGCTACAGAGACAAAAGATGTTGCCAGCAATAATTCCTGGTGCCAACACATCTGATGTGTGCACCCCCAAGGGGGAGCCAAGGGTCTTAGTAGCTGTCCTCAGAACCCAAGGATATACCATTTACACAAGCTGTTATGACCTGAACAGCTGTGCAAGTGGATCAGATAAATCTTGAACCTCATGTTTGCTGAAATTCATGGTCTCTGTATCCAGAATCTGACTATAACTGACCATCTTCCTATCATTCAAAGCCCCATCACGTCTACTTGGATGATTGCAGTAGCCTCTCCACTGGTCTCATTTATCCCATCCTTGCCACTGTAGCCCATTCTCAATATAATAACACCATCATATTATCATGACCTTTTGGAAAAAAAAATTGAATCAGGTGACTCCCCTTTTCAAAATCCTCCAAAGGTTTTGTTCCCAAGTCTTTACCATGACCCTGCCTGAGTGGTCCCCAATACTTATTACTCTCCCTTGTCTTACTCTGTTCCAGTCATACTCCTAGAACACACCCAGCATTCTCTGGTCATCTGCTTGGCACAGGCTGTTCCTTCTGCCTAAGATGCTCTTGCCCAAGTCATTCCCATTAGGTTAATTCCCTTACCATGATCACCTTATTTAAAATTTCACATAGGCTGCCAGTCCCCCTGACCATTATCTATTTTTTTTCTATAGCACTTGTCACCTTCTAATATGTTGGATATCACATTATTAAAGGTCTCCTCCAACTAGCCTGTGAGCACCACAAAGACAGACTTTTTTATATTTCGTAACATCCCCAGTCCTCTAACTAATGTCTAGAACATAGTACGTACCCAATAGAAATGTACTGAATTAACGAATCAGCAGAAATATAAAAATGTGCACTACTAAAGATAGGTATGGGACAAAAGGTAACTGTAGAAAAAAACTCAGAAATCAACATAATATCCCTGAGGTATTATCATCAAGTGCTTGACAACCAATTTCATGCAAGCTGACTATGTCAATCCTGCAACTTGTAAGTAACCCTGAGGTCACATTTAATGACCTGATTCTGCCATTCCCTGGCTGTGTGATCTTGGGCAATTTATTTAACCACTCTGAACTTTGCTTTCCTCATAGAAAACAGAGAGAGATAATAACAGAAACTCGTCT